TCACTCTTTCTTTCACATGCTCACTCACTAACTCACTCACTCACTCACTCACTCACTCAACTCACTCACTCACTCACTCACTCACTCACTCACTCACTCACTCACTCACTCATGCAGGATGGATGGATTGTTGATGGATAGATTGAACAGATAGATTGCTAGATGGATCGATAGATAGATGGATAGATAGCCAGAGAGATCGATCGATGGATAGATAGATAGATTGATTGGTAGATAGATAGATATCCTGATGTAAGGACAGATAGACAGATAGATAGATAGATAGATAGACAGGTCTGATAGATAGATAGATAGAGAGACAGAGAGAGAGAGAAATAGATAGATGGATTGATTGATGGATGGATGCATGGATAGATAGACAGATAGATCGATCGATCGATAGATAGATAGATAGAGAGATAGGGAGAGAGAGAAAGATAGAGAGAGAGAGAGAGACAGGGAGAGAGACATAGATAGATGGATGGATGGAGAGATAGAGACATAGATGGATGGATGCATGGATGGATGCATAGATAGATAGATAGATAGGTAGATAGATAAATAGATTGTTACATAGATAGCTTACGTCTCCCTGTCATGTTTTTGCTAGCATTTTTGGCCTTCAAGCCAGTTCTTTTGTCCAGGCCAATGCATATTGGCAAGAGGGTGCGACTTGGACGCCCGACTATCCACCGGCCAAAGGCAGCCTGGGGCCACCAGGAAGATGGGAGAAGCTCATAGAAGCTCTGGAGAAAACCATCACTCACACTCACTCACTCTCACTCACACTCACTCACACTCACTCACTCCTCACTCACACTCACTCTCACTCACTCCTCACTCACTCTCACTCACACACTCACTCACTCACACTCACTCAGGGACAGATAGACAGATAGATAGATAGATAGACAGGTCTGATAGATAGATAGAGAGATAGAGAGAGAGAAATAGATAGATGGATTGATTGATGGATGAATGCATGGATAGATAGACAGAAAGATCGATCGATCGATAGATAGATAGATAGATAGAGAGATAGGGAGAGAGAGAGAGAGAGAGAGAGAGAGAGAGAGAGAGAGAGAGAGAGAGAGAGAGAGATAGGGAGAGAGACATAGATAGATGGATGGATGGAGAGATAGAGACATAGATGGATGGATGCATGGATGGATGCATAGATAGATAGATAGGTAGATAGATAAATAGATTGTTACATAGATAGCTTACGTCTCCCTGTCATGTTTTTGCTGGCATTTTTGGCCTTCAGGTGGCCTTTTTTGGCCTTCAGGTTGCCTTTTTTGGCCTTCAGGTGGCCTTTTTTGGCGTCGGCTTGGCATGTTTGATATCCATGGCTTACGCCATTCGTCTCCCTGCCATGTTTGAGCTGGCATGCCAGTCTTTTGGGTATGTTTTTGCTGGTACCCTTTACGCGTTTTTAACTACTATGTTTATATAAATATTTTACATATATATATATATACACATACATATATATATATATTTATATATATATATATATACATTATTTATACATACTCATGGACTGCCACAATTGTTTGAAGTGCGATGTATGTGGCCATGCATTGTGTAGCGGTCCAATTGTCCTGAGGACGCCCGATTTGAGGTATGTGTTTCTTTCGCCTTAGTACAGTTGTTATTGCTCATGGAATAACATTTTAACAGCGATAACGATTGATAACGACAAGAATGGATGGGATGAAGCACAGAGCACTTCGGACAGTGTTCGCTCCTTTTTCACCTCACAAGTTTGCTGCCTAACGCACTGCTGCGCCGATGACACGCATGAAATCGTGTATGTAAGAATCATGTAGTGTGACATCTCTTCTGCATAGCATCACGTAGCGTAACATCTCGTGCACATGTAAGAAGCAGGTAGCGTGACAGCTCCTGTGCATGTAGCATCATGTAGAGTAACAGCTCCTGTCCTTACAACATCATGTAGCGGACAGTGGATGATGAAAGCTGCTCTAAACATTAATTAGTGTTCCCCCACACCCCTACATACTACTAACGTGATGGACGTTGATGAACGTCAACAATGCTAGGGCGGTTTTCCCTCCGCTGGCAAAACATTTGTGTTTGAGTCGAGAGTAGATATGAAGTAGGACTAGTAGTGTTAGTATTGGCAGTATAGTGGTAGTACAGTGGTAGCGTAGTGGTAATATAGTGGTAGTATAAAGTGGTAATGAGTATAGTGGTAGCGTAGTGTATAGTGGTAGGAGTGGCAGCAGAGGCAGCAGCATAGCAGTAACATGGCAGTAACATGGCAGTGGCAGCAGCAACAGTGATAGTGGTAGAGGTGGGGGTAGGGATAGGGTAGGGGTAGTGGTGGTGGTAGTAGCAGTAGCAGTAGCAGTAGCAGTAGCAGTAGCAGTAGCAGTAGCAGTAGCAGTAGCAGTAGCAGTAGCAGTAGCAGTAGCAGTAGCAGTAGCAGTAGGAGTAGGAGTAGGAGTAGGAGTAGTAGTAGTAGTAGTAGTTAGTAGTTAGTAGTTAGTAGGTAGTAGGTAATAGTAGTAGTAGTAGTAGTAGCAGTAGTAGTAGTAGTAGAAGTAGCAGTAGCAGTAGCAGTAGCAGTAGCAGCAGCAGCAGTAGCAGCAGCAGCGGGAGGAGCGGGAGTGGGAGTGGGAGTGGGAGTGGGAGTAGGAGTAGGAGTAGGAGTAGTAGGAGTAGTAGGAGTAGTAGGAGTAGTAGGAGTAGTAGTAGTCGTCGTCGTCGTAGTCGTCGTAGTCGTAGTCGTAGTCGTAGTGGTAGTGGTAGTGGTAGTGGTAGTGGTTGTCGTAATAGTAGCAGTAGCAGTAGCAGTAGCAGGAGCAGCAGCAGCAGCAGCAGCAGGATCAGGAGCAGGATCAGGAGCAGGAGCATTAGCAGTAGCAGTACCAGTAGCAGTAGCAGTAGCAGTAGCAGTAGTAGTAGTAGTAGTAGCAGTAGTAGTAGCAGTAGCAGTAGTAGCAGTAGTAGCAGTAGTAGTAGTAGTGTTGGTGGTGGTGGTGTTGGTGGTAGTAGTAGTGGTAGTAGTAGTAGTAGTAGTGTAGTAGTAGTAGTAGGAGTAGGAGTAGTAGTAGAAAAAACGGATCCATATAAATAACCTCTTTCTCAGAGTATTCAGTTTGCTGCAGTGCAGCTGAAGCAGAGCACCTACAAGGCGGTGCCCCAGTCATAAATTGGTTACAAGCCCATTAACTATAGATATATCACCAACAAAAACCATAGTTATTGGAGTTATTTGCACCAACTTAGCAATCTCGGGGGGGCACCACCTTCTAAGATTGTTTCTGAAAACTTCCAACAGTTCATCATAGGACAGGGGTCAGAGTCCTTCCCCACAGCCATCCCTGGCATCACGGTATCACGCCCCACCTGGAGGTAATAAAGTGATCAAACCCAAACCAGCCGGAGGAGGCTGGGCGACGGTGGAAATCAAAATCGCTCCAGCCCGGGCTATTCAACAAAATGTTTATTTGTATAGGTTATATATATATATATATGTATGATTATTTGCAAGAGATAGTTATACTGCACATCAATGCGCA